TTCTCTGTATACCAAAGTATTCTAGAGTCAAATGTGAGGCCATCTGTCCCACAGCTAAAGCATGGCCGAAATGTATTAATTTAAAAGGACAATGATCCCAAGCACATCAGCAACTCTACAACAGAATGGCTGAAAAAAGGAAAATAATTAAGGTGTTGCAATGGCACAGTCAAAGTCCAGACCTCATCTCTAGTAAAATTGTGTTATGTGACCTTAAGAGAGCTTCTTAAACAAATGCCAGCAAAAGCTCAATGAACTGAAGCAACGTTGTAGAGATGAGTGGGCCACAATTCCTCCTCAATGATGTGAGATACTGATAAAGTCATACAGAAAACTATTACTTCTACAAGCTATTGAACCATAAGGTGTACTTGATTTTTCACACGTGGCTTCTCCACATCATTACACGATGCAATATGTCATGTGCTGTTGTTCATCTGAGGTTGTGGTTACCTTACTTTAAGACATGTTACGGAATAGATGATTGTTTTTATGTCCTGATATGTAAAACCATAGAATTCAAAGAGGGCTTACTTTCTTTATTCCTTTGCATATCAATCTACCGCAACTCCTCATAGATTGTAAGCTCATTTGAGCATGACCTTCTTCACCTCTAAATATCCTCTTTCTGTAATTGTAAAACACTGTGAAATATGTTTGTGCCACATAAATACTAATTATAGACAAAAATATTTGAGGGGGAAACATTGTGGAAACTGATCTTTTTTCAACTTGTCTATTTTGGCTCTTAATAATAATAATAATAACACATATATGGTTTTCATTTCATTATAATTTACTATTTAGAGAATAAACCTTATTATAACCATCGTCATGCCAGATGTTGTGGACTACATCTTCTATAATGCTCATACAGCCATAATGCTGGCAAAACAATGAAGAATCAATGTAGTACAAACCAATTGGAGTGCCAAAGGTTACCCCTGTTACAAGCAATGACAAAATGAAGAAATATTCTAACAGATAACATATTGCCAAGGGAGATGTCTGGTTTAGCATTTGTAATCACATTGCAAAATGGGTGAAAGGCTAGTTACTAATAATAATATCTGACTTTTGCCCCTGACAGTCAGCATAGAGATGGTATACAGAGATGAGAAAAAAATAAAGCTATTATGGTTATTCACTATGCTGACACCCAGTATGCACAGAACTGGTGGAGTTTCACCTCCAGCGGCAAAGTTCTGTATCTCTGTATGTATAGCATACATGAAACGCTGCACGTACAGACTCCAAGCAGTGAAGTGGTTATGGTGGTAGGAGTAACACTTTAACTTCAGAAACACGTTATAGTTTATTCAGTGGAGAATTAGCAAGGGAATTTCAAATTCATAGCCAAAATAGACAGAGAAAATCGACAAGTTATAGGTAGAGAGAGAGAGAGAGAGTATGTGTGTGTGTCTCTCTCTCTCTAAGGATATTCTTTTTGTGGCTTATGTGTTATTGGACAAAATGCATAAAAATGCATTTTTCCTGTACTTGCCTATTTTCTCATTAGGTTATATACAATCATTGTGAAAAAGAAATATACAAATGGTCAGTTGCACTGCTTTTATCAGTTTTATAAGGACTCGGGTGGTATTATTAGCAACTCAGCTTCCTAAAAATGTAAAAATAGGACTTATTTATAATAATGCTAACATACAGTAAGTACAGTTAAATTATTATTTTACACCTACATTCCTTTATCTTACCTTCCAATCCCTCTTTTTTATGTTCATCTTTTTTAATGTCTTCATTTAGGCTGGAGTTCATGTTATTTTGGTGGGATAGATACAAATACTGATCATGGTAATTTTGTATTGTTTTATATTCTTAGTGGAATATATGTTAGAAACTTCTCTCCTCAAAAACAAAGTTAGTTTAAAAAAAACCTGTATAATCCCATGTCAATGAATGGAACTCCAGGTCAATAATTCTTGATCTTTGGATCCACAACTATCACATTTATTATATTATTTATAATAAATTAAAGAAACATAAAAAATAAAATGAAAACCTTGAGAAATCATGAAAAAAATCTGCAATTTTGATATCGCTATGTTTGGAGCCAATCAATCAGTAGGAATGACTTCCACTCAAATTTGTGGTAAGTACAATTGTTACTTGAATTCTAAAACCACATAACATACAGCATCTCCAGTGAACTCTCAGCATTTTGGGAAGAGGTTCAGTCTTGTGTTGGTTGTCTCTACTCTATAGCACTGAGCATACTCAGTTACCTGCTGCGTAGGGTTTGGTACTGCAGAGATGTACAGAGCTTTGGAACTTCTATTGAAAGTTGTACAGTCTTTAACTGGCCTTGTTAATAAAAGGATAAATAACACTATATATGCAGGATTACACAATCCGAGAATGAGAATATAATTGCTAGATACACAGGTTTCCGTGCTACAAATATTCCCTGTGTAACTACTCCACATAAACAGATGTATGTGATGTCATTAAATGCTACTGTATATGGCAATTTATGTGATAGAGAAAATGAGGTTAACTTATGTAATAAACAAATTATTAATTTACTAGTACCTACTAAAAGTCATGAAAATTAATTTTAAAAAATCCACCATAAATAAGAGCTGTTCATTTTAGATCATGATAAATTATGTCCCTAGCATAAACATAGCATAATATGTGTCTCTGTGGTTACTCACCCAGGGCTGGTGCAACAATTTTTGGCTACACAGGCAAACATGCATTTTGCCGCCCACCCTCCCAGAAAAAGGTATGTAAGCTGTGTGCCTGGTAAACCCCTCTTTTGAATTCCTTACCCCCTTTAGTGTTTAATATTCCCTCTTGAATGCCTTACCCCTTTTGCTCCTTTGTGTGTGTGTTACACCCCCTTTAGTGTATTATATCATCCTCTTTAGTGTGTCCCACCAGCCCCTTTCTGTGTCACTTTGCTTTACTGAGGGGGATAGAGCAGAATTGTGTGGGATACAGACTTTTTTATTAATATTTATATAGCTCCAACAAATTCTGTAGCACTGTACAATAGGGCTTTAGTTGGGGAGGATAGGGGCAGTATTGTGTGGGACAGGGGGCTTAGCGGGGGGGATAGGGGTAGTTTTGGGGAATAGAGGCAGTATTATGGGTGATAGCAGCTTTAGAGTGGGCTAATAGGGGCAGTGTTGTGGGGGATTGGGGCTTTATTCTGATGGGCACAGGCTGTATTGTGGCTGATTGATTCTTTAGTGTGGTAGGATAGGGGCAGTATTTCAGGGGATTGGGGCATTATTAAGGAGATGGGAACAATATTGTGGAGGATTGGGGTTTAGTTGGGGGGCAGAGTACAGTAATGTGTGAGACTGGGGCTGTGGTGGGGGTGGATATGATCAGTATTGTGGGGGACTGGCGCTATGGTGGGGGATAGGAACAGTATTGGGGCAGGGGCAATATTGTGTGGTGGTTTTAGGGGGCAGGGGCAGTATTGTGTGGTGGTTTTAGGGGGCAGGGGCAGTATTGTGTGGAGTATTGATGAGGTTAGGGGAACATTGTGAGGGGGGATAGGGACAACTTTGGGTGGGCAGGGGCAGTATTGTGGGTGGTTAGGGCAGCATTGTGTGGGGGTTAGGGACAGTGTTGGGGGCATAGGCAGTATGGTGGGGGTTAAGGACAGTATTGGGGGTTAGGGGCAGTATTGTGGGGGGATAGGGACAATATTATGAGGCAGGGGCAGTGTTGTGGGGGGATAGAGATAGTATTATGATGCAGGGGCAGTGTTGTGGAGGGATAGGGAGAGCATTTGGGGCATCTGGGGCTGTATTGTTGGGGGATAGAGACTATATTAATGGCAGGGGCAGTATTGTGGGGGATATGGATAGTATTGGGGGCAGAGGCAATATTTTGGATGGTTAGGGAGCATTGTGAGGGAGAAAGGGATAATATTGAGGTGCAGGGGTCTGTATTGTGGGGGGATAGGGAAAATATTATGGGGTAGGGGCAGTATTGTGGGGGATACGGACTGTATTATGGGGCATGGGGCAGTATTGTGGGGGGATAGGGGCAGTAACATGGGACAGGGGTATTATTTTGGATAGTTAGGGAGCATTGTGGTGGAGAAAGGGACAGGTTTTTTGGGGGGTGAGTGGGGCTTAGAAAAAATACACTCCACCCAGTCTCCCTACCTTCTGGAGAACTGTGGGGGATCCTGGGGTCCAGTGGACTGGCGCTGTGCTTTTGTGAGGGAGCTCTGCTCTACATCCACTCTCTTCCTGTATAACTCCCTCATGTGCCTGACGTCACATTCCAGCTCCCAGGCACCACTGTGGGGCACGCAAGGGCGCTATATAGGAAGAGAGCAGATGTAGAGCGGAGCTCCCTTGCTTGCCCCCCTGCTCTGGTGCTTACCACGCCAGTGGTGTATTTTGGATTTGTGCTGCCCTAGGCACAACTTAATATCGGGCACCCCCAAAATCTAAATTTTCCCCCCCCAATTCGTGTCAAGGCCATTTTTTTTGACTGACAGACACATATCCTCATTGATACATGCACTGATATACACTCACTGACAGATACACAGTCATTGGCACACATATACAGTCATTGGCACACACACCCTCACCGACAGACACAGACCGACACACACCCACAGGCAACACCCATTCCTCACCTTCACCCTCACCCACCACAGTAAGGCGGACAAGTCCCAGAACATGAGGCAAACAAGGCATCTGTCCGGGAGCTCAGTGGCCTTTAGCAGTCCCCGAGTGCCGCCCCAGGGCAAACTGTCTGGCCCTAGGTAAACACATCCCCAAGAGGCAGCCCTAAGCACAAAGACTCAACAACCAGTGGTGCGCATCCCTCATCTTGTGCCGCCCCAGGCAGGACAAAATCCAGGTGCCCCGTCCCACCAACTCCACCCAACCCATCCCAACCTCCAAACACACACACAGTCAGATCACAAACACACACACACACACAAATCAGACACACACACAAACACAGTCAGACACACACACAGCCCAGACACACAGTCAGACACAAACACACAAACACAAACACAAATCACACACACAGTCAGACACACACACAGTCAGACACAAACACGACAAACACAAACACACACACAACACAAACACACACAAAACACACAAACACACAAACAGACACACACACATCAGACACAAACACACACACACAGTCAGACACACACAGACACAAACACACACACAGTCAGGCACAAACACACACACTCACAAACACAGTCAGACACAAACACACACACAGTCAGACACAAACACACACAGTCAGGCACAAACACACACACACACTCACAAACACAGTCAGACACAAACACACACACAGTCAGACACACACACACATTAACTTTGTTTTTAATTTAAATCCCCCCCCCAACCTCCTTACCTTTGGGAGTGCTGGGGGGGGTCTCTCTCCCTGGTGGTCCGGTGGCTGCAGGTCGGGCGGGCGGCGCTGGCAGGCGGGCGGCCGGCGAGGGAGCACTTCCTATGAGCTGACTGCTCAGCTCCCTCGCGCGCCGGCTGCAGAGTGAGGCTGGGAGCCGGAAGATGACGTCATCTTCCGGCTCCCAGCCTCACTCCTTGGCGCGCGAGGGAGCTGAGCAGTCAGCTCAGGGGAAGAGCTCCCTCGCCGGCCGCCCGCCTGCCAGCTCGGGATGTCAGTTAGCCGCAAGGCTAACTAGGCATTTGCCCTGGGCATTTGGGGGGCGGCGTTTTTTGCCGCCCCCTGAAAAATGCCGCCCAAGGCAAATGCCTTGTTTGCCTCGCGGCTAATACGCCCCTGTACCACGCTACAAGAAATAACCAGCAGGAGAGGAGTGTTCTAACCATTCAATGAAACAATTTGATGTCTACGGAAATAGGTATCAATAACCTCAAGAACCTCTGCAAACTGAAGTATAGACAACACAACTCCTAGCATGTTATATCCTTAAAAAGACAAGAACTGACAATACATCCTTGATGTATCATATTAAAGAAACACTCCAAACACCATAATCACTTCAATGTGATGTAATTAATATGCTGCCAGGAGTGGCCTGGTGCTCTACCAAGACATTTGAAATTATTTTGGGGTTATTTCCATGTGAAGCTTCACTAATGAAGTGAAGGTGGACAGTGGTTTATTAGCGCATTAACTCTTAATACATATATTAGAACTCCTGGTGTCCAACTTCATTCTCATTAGGTATAAAGTCTTAAAGCATGGCCTGTAAAGAAATCAAAGTTCTATGTGCAACAGGAAAAAAACGAGTTGTCAATGGCAAGAAATCTTTTGAATTTATCACAATTTAATAAATGTCCTCCAGTCTTAAAATTCTTTTTCAAAAATCCATTATTTTTGATGGTGGTTCTTAACCCATGAGTAGGGACCAAAACTAAACCCTTATTCGGTCTCAATGGGTCCATTTTGTTAGAAGGAGGTACATCATGGTTACGTTATCCAATTCAAAATACATTGTGTTAGACTTAGATATTTGTTTCAGTGCAAACTACAATATGTCCAATTTTGGGCTGATCAGGTGATTGGTCAAATTCCCAAACTCATAGCCGAAATATAGCCAAATCAAGAACTGAAACATGCAATTATGTTAATTTTGATTCGGAATTCCACCAGTGACGCCAAGAAGAAGAGATGGCTTATGGAAAAAGATGATTAATAGCTAGGGGAGAGTTACTAAAAGTTGATTTTATTAATGGATCAAGTGAGAAGTAACCAACAGGAGGAAATTTATGTAATTTAATAAATATATAATATAGCAGCATATTTTACTTATTTTATTAGAATTTTATTGCAAATTGCTGCAGGTATATTATGTTATTTACAAGGAGGCAGGGTAAATTCTTAAATTGTACTCTATGTAATGATAAGTGAATGCTGTATATTGCTGAACTGCCCCTTTAAAGTTTACCACTTTGGCTTTAGATAAGATCACAGTAAGAGCAATGTACACATTATGTCCTAAACAGACACATTTAGCAGAGGCAATAACAACACGCAATGATGAAAATAATACGTACACAATGCATGTCTCAAACCAAGAGGAAGGAAGCAGAGGTGTTGATTATCTTCAACATAGTTATGAATAATAGCCAACAGCTCAGTTTGCAGGGTTCTACACTGATATACAAATATTTAGCAAATAGAATAATACCAATGCAATAGAGAGTGTTCATTCACTTACTTTTGTGACCCTTTTGCTTGCAATCTCCAATCCCCTTTAAAATCCTGCCATAAATACCATTAATTTATATAAAGAACTAAACATCTCGCTGTACACTGAGGACAAGTTGCAATTGTGTCTGCTTTTAGACAGGTTCACCACGGTTCAAGTAGATTTGACCTTTTCGGTTATTGCTCTAATAGCGGTAAGCAGAACATTTTTGTTTTTAGTTATTTTACTTTTCTTTCCATTTCCTGATTTATGAATATTCATGGGTATATGTCAATTTTCATTTGCATGTTCCCATGTAAACAGATGATAAATGACTAACGATTGAAGCGTACATAAAAATAGAATTTTAATAAAGAGTTAACATTGTTTCAATTGAGATTAAAAAAATTTTTGGTAACAATATTTCATATTACAATTTTTTTATTTAGAAATGCAATATTTTGGTTAATTCTCATTAAAGTGGAGTAGATATTTCACACAATGAAGTATAGAGAAAAAGCGAGTTAGAATATACTTGTAGCAGTCTGACAAAATTTACGTAATGACAAACAAATACCTGTCAGGAAATCATAAATATAAGAGATCATTTATTACCAAATTAAAATAACTCAATAATTAAAAGGCTTTCTCCGTTTATCTCAAGTCTTTTCCTTTGGATTCTCTAGAAGCCTAAGATAACAAAAAAGCATTACTTATACTTGTAATAAATTTCTAGCATCAAATTCAAATTCCTAAATTATCATGAATTTTATACAAAGTGGCAATACTCGATCTTGGCCACTAGATGTCCAGGGAAGACAACTATAGAAATATAGTATAGCATGCATCCCTGAACTGAGAACCTCAACCTATATTACTATTCACAATTTAATATACACATAAGGTAGGATAGAACAGAAGTCAATAAAGTTGACAGAGATAGAGGAATTCCAACCCTAGCTCCTTAAGACTAGGGGTGGCCTTCAAAAACTATACTTAGAGAATCTAGAGTTGCAGACCAAAATTTGTCATCTCTAGCAATTCAGTGACCTAATGCTTGAGGACCACTAACTGTACATTAGTTACTATAATCAATAGTCAATAACTGGCCTATTTTAATATAGTATCTCCATCTAAAACTGTCATAGACTTACTTGCACTGCTCTTGTCCTCTGGCCGCATGGACCGAACGTTCCTCTTGCAATATATGTTTGTTGTTAATACCATGTTCTAGACGATAATTTTACATCTAAATAATTATGGTATTTTCATTTTTTGAGGTAAAGCTGTGATATTTGTTGTCTTAGAAACCACTGTTCAGGTGAGTTTCTGTACTGAGAGGTACTTTCTCCTATTTGCTTATGTGATACTTTAGAGCATGGTATATTGAAGAGGTAGGTAACAGTACTTTGCTGTCTATCATCTCAATGACCAATCGGATCTCAGTTGAGGGCAGGAAGTATGACTTTCTCTCTCTGTAAATTCAAGCGTGAATGTCGGTCTTGATGCCGGCATTACCAAAACTTGAAAAATGGAAGCATAAGAACTGTGAGGTTACATAGTTACATAGCTGAAAAGAGACTTGTGTCCATCAAGTTCAGCCTTCCTCACATATGTTTTTGCTGTTGATCCAATTTTGCAACAATCTAGGAAAAAGTTCCTTCTTGACCCCAAAATGGCAGTCAGATATCTCCTTGGATCAAGCAGTTATTACCACACTTATTAGAAAGTATATCCCTGTATGTTATGTTTTTGGAAGTATTTTATCCAAAACCTGTTTAAACATCTGTATGGATTCTGATGAAAGCACCTTTTCAGGCAGAGAATTCCATATCCTTATAGTTCGGACTGTAAAAAAACATTTTATTTGCCTTAGATGAAATCTCCTTTCTTCCAGCGTAAATGCATGACCTCGTGTCCTATGTATAGCCCCTTTAATGAATAGATTTCCAGATATTGGTTTGTACTGGGCCCGAATATATTTGTATAAATTTATCATATCCCCTTTTATTCGCCATTTTTTCAAACTAAAGAGATTTAAACATTTTAACCTTTCTTCGTAACTAAAATGTCTATTCCTTTTATCAATTTTGTAACTCATCTTTGCACTTTTTCTAGTGCCATGATATCCTTCTTTAGAACAGGTGCCCAAAATTGCACAGCATATTCAAGTTGTGGTCTTACCAGTGATTTATAAAGAGGCAAAATTATATTTTCAGCCCGAGCATTTATGCCCCTATTTATACATGACAAAACCTTACTGGCCTTAGCAACTGCAGATTGACATTGCATATTGCTGCCTAATTTGTTGTCTATAATAATTCCCAAATCCTTCTCATGTGTGGTTACCCCTAATTCACTATCATTTAGGGTGCTTGTGCATTCTTGATCCTGAAGTGCATGACTTTGCATTTCTCTACATTAAATTTCATCTGCCATTTCAGTGCCCAGACCCCTAATCTATCTAAATCCATCTGCAGCAAAGCAATATCCTGCTCACATTTTATACAGTTTTGTGTCATCTGCAAACACTAAAACATGGCTTTCAATGCCTATTTCAAGATCATTTATAAATCTGTTAAATAGAAGCGGTCACAAAACAGAACCCTGAGGGACACCACTTACCACTTTTGTCCAGCTTGAAAATGTACCATTAATGACAACTTGTTGTACTCTATCCTTAAGCCAGTGTTCTACCCAAGAACAAGAATATTTATACCCAATTTCTTTTAGTTTGAAGACTAACCTATTGTGAGGAACCGTATCAAATGCCTTCGCAAAATCCAAGTGGATGACATCCACTGCAACACCCTGATCTATACTTCTACTTACTTCTTTGTAGAATGCAATTAGGTTAGTTTGACATGACCTACGTTTCATAAAACTATGCTGATTATTGCTAATAACAAAGTTCTTCCTAATGAATTCCAGAATATTATCTCTTAATAGCCCTTCAAATATTTTCCCAGTCACAGAAGTTAAGCTCTATAATTTCCAGGCAATGATTTCAACCACTTTTTAACTATAGGAATGACATCTGCCTTCCTCTAATCCTCCGGTACAATAACTGAAACAAAAGAATCTTGGAAGATTAAATACAGAGGTTCACTTATTTCCCACTTAGCTCCTTAAGTACTCATGGGTGAATACCGTCCCAGAGCTTTATTTACATTAATTTTCTTTAACTGCTGTAGCACCTTGTCTCAAGCCATCCAATCACAAGTTATCTTTGCAGCAATCATTTGCCATAGGATCCTCATTAATATATACTGAAGAAAAATAGTTGTTTAAAATTTCTACCTTTTCCTGGTCTTCATTAACTAACAGACCCATCTCTGTTTCCAGTGTACCTACACTTTCATTTTTATTTATTTTTATTTTTTTAGAATTGATGTACATGAAAATTTTTTGGGGGTTGGTTTTGCATTCTTTGGCTATCAATTTCTCATTTTCTAGTTTAGCCACTTTAATTGCCATTTTGCAAGCATTATTGGCTTCCTTAAATCTTATATAGGATGACTCTGATTTGTCCGATTTAAATGCCCTTTTCTTGTTTTTAATCTCTTGTTTTACTTCTCTACTAAGCCACAGTGGTTTCAATTTGTTTCTTTTATATTTATTACCCAATTGTACATACTGAGAAATGTACCTTTCTACCTTTTTAGTTGTTTGAGGAGTTTCCATTTATCCTCAGTGTTTTTTTTTTTACTAAGGAATTTATGCCAGTCAATATGTTGTAGAGCTGCCCTCATCTTTTGAAATTGGCTTTTTTAGAATTATATGTTTTAGTATACCCCATGTGCTTTTACTATTTTGAGTTTATTTAGAAAATGACCATATTGTGATCACTATTTCCCAAATACTCCCCTACTTGGATGTTGGTCAAAAGATCAACATTGTTTGTTATAGCGAGATCCAGACAAGCATCCTTTCTAGTTGGTGCTTGTCCCAGTTGTGACATGAAGGTGTCATTTAACACATTCAAAAACCTGATTCCCCTTGCTGAAGTACTAGTCCCTCTATCCCAATTTATGTCCGGGTAATTTAAATCTCTAATAATTTACGTGTTACCCAGATTTGCAGCTTTCCCAATTTGCTCTAACAGCTGTTCTTCCTCATTAATATTTACATTAGGTGGTTTATAACATATCCCAAACAATAATTGATTTCCCTTATTTTGCCCCAAGCAGATTGTAGCGGAACGCCAATAATAAATCCACGAATTCCGCTGGTCCAGAAACGAATCCACAGTCAAGCGCTGAAAACAACAAGGCAATATCCCCAACCTCCCAATAACCGGACGAGACACAGTTTTGGGAGTCAACTGACAATCCTTTAATCGGCACGACAATTTATACAAGTCCCCATGCAAGGGGTTTCCTGAGTCCCTCCCCAGGGGCACTCCCAGAGGGGACTACATGGGGGACTTACAGTACAACATATTTCTCCCATCAGGCACTGCTGCACGAGAGGGATCATCCTCCCAGAATGCACCGTTAAGGGGATTATCCCCTCGTGCAGCAGAACCGGCAATTCACACAAAAATCTATAACTTTTAAAATACACGGTGGATTTGCACGAATGGACGTTCGGTAGATAGCTGGGGTCTGGGCGCATCATTCGGGAGATTGCCGCTCAGATCCCAGCTAGAATAACCGAACGCCGCACAAAAGCGAGTTAGAATATACTTGTAGCAGTCTGACAAAATTTACGTAATGACAAACAAATACCTGTCAGGAAATCATAAATATAAGAGATCATTTATTACCAAATTAAAATAACTCAATAATTAAAAGGCTTTCTCCGTTTATCTCAAGTCTTTTCCTTTGGATTCTCTAGAAGCCTAAGATAACAAAAAAGCATTACTTATACTTGTAATAAATTTCTAGCATCAAATTCAAATTCCTAAATTATCATGAATTTTATACAAAGTGGCAATACTCGATCTTGGCCACTAGATGTCCAGGGAAGACAACTATAGAAATATAGTATAGCATGCATCCCTGAACTGAGAACCTCAACCTATATTACTATTCACAATTTAATATACACATAAGGTAGGATAGAACAGAAGTCAATAAAGTTGACAGAGATAGAGGAATTCCAACCCTAGCTCCTTAAGACTAGGGGTGGCCTTCAAAAACTATACTTAGAGAATCTAGAGTTGCAGACCAAAATTTGTCATCTCTAGCAATTCAGTGACCTAATGCTTGAGGACCACTAACTGTACATTAGTTACTATAATCAATAGTCAATAACTGGCCTATTTTAATATAGTATCTCCATCTAAAACTGTCATAGACTTACTTGCACTGCTCTTGTCCTCTGGCCGCATGGACCGAACGTTCCTCTTGCAATATATGTTTGTTGTTAATACCATGTTCTAGACGATAATTTTACATCTAAATAATTATGGTATTTTCATTTTTTGAGGTAAAGCTGTGATATTTGTTGTCTTAGAAACCACTGTTCAGGTGAGTTTCTGTACTGAGAGGTACTTTCTCCTATTTGCTTATGTGATACTTTAGAGCATGGTATATTGAAGAGGTAGGTAACAGTACTTTGCTGTCTATCATCTCAATGACCAATCGGATCTCAGTTGAGGGCAGGAAGTATGACTTTCTCTCTCTGTAAATTCAAGCGTGAATGTCGGTCTTGATGCCGGCATTACCAAAACTTGAAAAATGGAAGCATAAGAACTGTGAGGTTACATAGTTACATAGCTGAAAAGAGACTTGTGTCCATCAAGTTCAGCCTTCCTCACATATGTTTTTGCTGTTGATCCAATTTTGCAACAATCTAGGAAAAAGTTCCTTCTTGACCCCAAAATGGCAGTCAGATATCTCCTTGGATCAAGCAGTTATTACCACACTTATTAGAAAGTATATCCCTGTATGTTATGTTTTTGGAAGTATTTTATCCAAAACCTGTTTAAACATCTGTATGGATTCTGATGAAAGCACCTTTTCAGGCAGAGAATTCCATATCCTTATAGTTCGGACTGTAAAAAAACATTTTATTTGCCTTAGATGAAATCTCCTTTCTTCCAGCGTAAATGCATGACCTCGTGTCCTATGTATAGCCCCTTTAATGAATAGATTTCCAGATATTGGTTTGTACTGGGCCCGAATATATTTGTATAAATTTATCATATCCCCTTTTATTCGCCATTTTTTCAAACTAAAGAGATTTAAACATTTTAACCTTTCTTCGTAACTAAAATGTCTATTCCTTTTATCAATTTTGTAACTCATCTTTGCACTTTTTCTAGTGCCATGATATCCTTCTTTAGAACAGGTGCCCAAAATTGCACAGCATATTCAAGTTGTGGTCTTACCAGTGATTTATAAAGAGGCAAAATTATATTTTCAGCCCGAGCATTTATGCCCCTATTTATACATGACAAAACCTTACTGGCCTTAGCAACTGCAGATTGACATTGCATATTGCTGCCTAATTTGTTGTCTATAATAATTCCCAAATCCTTCTCATGTGTGGTTACCCCTAATTCACTATCATTTAGGGTGCTTGTGCATTCTTGATCCTGAAGTGCATGACTTTGCATTTCTCTACATTAAATTTCATCTGCCATTTCAGTGCCCAGACCCCTAATCTATCTAAATCCATCTGCAGCAAAGCAATATCCTGCTCACATTTTATACAGTTTTGTGTCATCTGCAAACACTAAAACATGGCTTTCAATGCCTATTTCAAGATCATTTATAAATCTGTTAAATAGAAGCGGTCACAAAACAGAACCCTGAGGGACACCACTTACCACTTTTGTCCAGCTTGAAAATGTACCATTAATGACAACTTGTTGTACTCTATCCTTAAGCCAGTGTTCTACCCAAGAACAAGAATATTTATACCCAATTTCTTTTAGTTTGAAGACTAACCTATTGTGAGGAACCGTATCAAATGCCTTCGCAAAATCCAAGTGGATGACATCCACTGCAACACCCTGATCTATACTTCTACTTACTTCTTTGTAGAATGCAATTAGGTTAGTTTGACATGACCTACGTTTCATAAAACTATGCTGATTATTGCTAATAACAAAGTTCTTCCTAATGAATTCCAGAATATTATCTCTTAATAGCCCTTCAAATATTTTCCCAGTCACAGAAGTTAAGCTCTATAATTTCCAGGCAATGATTTCAACCACTTTTTAACTATAGGAATGACATCTGCCTTCCTCTAATCCTCCGGTACAATAACTGAAACAAAAGAATCTTGGAAGATTAAATACAGAGGTTCACTTATTTCCCACTTAGCTCCTTAAGTACTCATGGGTGAATACCGTCCCAGAGCTTTATTTACATTAATTTTCTTTAACTGCTGTAGCACCTTGTCTCAAGCCATCCAATCACAAGTTATCTTTGCAGCAATCATTTGCCATAGGATCCTCATTAATATATACTGAAGAAAAATAGTTGTTTAAAATTTCTACCTTTTCCTGGTCTTCATTAACTAACAGACCCATCTCTGTTTCCAGTGTACCTACACTTTCATTTTTATTTATTTTTATTTTTTTAGAATTGATGTACATGAAAATTTTTTGGGGGTTGGTTTTGCATTCTTTGGCTATCAATTTCTCATTTTCTAGTTTAGCCACTTTAATTGCCATTTTGCAAGCATTATTGGCTTCCTTAAATCTTATATAGGATGACTCTGATTTGTCCGATTTAAATGCCCTTTTCTTGTTTTTAATCTCTTGTTTTACTTCTCTACTAAGCCACAGTGGTTTCAATTTGTTTCTTTTATATTTATTACCCAATTGTACATACTGAGAAATGTACCTTTCTACCTTTTTAGTTGTTTGAGGAGTTTCCATTTATCCTCAGTGTTTTTTTTTTTACTAAGGAATTTATGCCAGTCAATATGTTGTAGAGCTGCCCTCATCTTTTGAAATTGGCTTTTTTAGAATTATATGTTTTAGTATACCCCATGTGCTTTTACTATTTTGAGTTTATTTAGAAAATGACCATATTGTGATCACTATTTCCCAAATACTCCCCTACTTGGATGTTGGTCAAAAGATCAACATTGTTTGTTATAGCGAGATCCAGACAAGCATCCTTTCTAGTTGGTGCTTGTCCCAGTTGTGACATGAAGGTGTCATTTAACACATTCAAAAACCTGATTCCCCTTGCTGAAGTACTAGTCCCTCTATCCCAATTTATGTCCGGGTAATTTAAATCTCTAATAATTTACGTGTTACCCAGATTTGCAGCTTTCCCAATTTGCTCTAACAGCTGTTCTTCCTCATTAATATTTACATTAGGTGGTTTATAACATATCCCAAACAATAATTGATTTCCCTTATTTTGCCCCAAGCAGATTGTAGCGGAACGCCAATAATAAATCCACGAATTCCGCTGGTCCAGAAACGAATCCACAGTCAAGCGCTGAAAACAACAAGGCAATATCCCCAACCTCCCAATAACCGGACGAGACACAGTTTTGGGAGTCAACTGACAATCCTTTAATCGGCACGACAATTTATACAAGTCCCCATGCAAGGGGTTTCCTGAGTCCCTCCCCAGGGGTACTCCCGGAGGGGACTACATGGGGGACTTACAGTACAACATATTTCTCCCATCAGGCACTGCTGCACGAGAGGGATCATCCTCCCAGAATGCACCGTTAAGGGGATTATCCCCTCGTGCAGCAGAACCGGCAATTCACACAAAAATCTATAACTTTTAAAATACACGGTGGATTTGCACGAATGGACGTTCGGTAGATAGCTGGGGTCTGGGCGCATCATTCGGGAGATTGCCGCTCAGATCCCAGCTAGAATAACCGAACGCCGCACAAAAGCGAGTTAGAATATACTTGTAGCAGTCTGACAAAATTTACGTAATGACAAACAAATACCTGTCAGGAAATCATAAATATAAGAGATCATTTATTACCAAATTAAAATAACTCAATAATTAAAAGGCTTTCTCCGTTTATCTCAAGTCTTTTCCTTTGGATTCTCTAGAAGCCTAAGATAACAAAAAAGCATTACTTATACTTGTAATAAATTTCTAGCATCAAATTCAAATTCCTAAATTATCATGAATTTTATACAAAGTGGCAATACTCGATCTTGGCCACTAGATGTCCAGGGAAGACAACTATAGAAATATAGTATAGCATGCATCCCTGAACTGAGAACCTCAACCTATATTACTATTCACAATTTAATATACACATAAGGTAGGATAGAACAGAAGTCAATAAAGTTGACAGAGATAGAGGAATTCCAACCCTAGCTCCTTAAGACTAGGGGTGGCCTTCAAAAACTATACTTAGAGAATCTAGAGTTGCAGACCAAAATTTGTCATCTCTAGCAATTCAGTGACCTAATGCTTGAGGACCACTAACTGTACATTAGTTACTATAATCAATAGTCAATAACTGGCCTATTTTAATATAGTATCTCCATCTAAAACTGTCATAGACTTACTTGCACTGCTCTTGTCCTCTGGCCGCATGGACCGAACGTTCCTCTTGCAATATATGTTTGTTGTTAATACCATGTTCTAGACGATAATTTTACATCTAAATAATTATGGTATTTTCATTTTTTGAGGTAAAGCTGTGATATTTGTTGTCTTAGAAACCACTGTTCAGGTGAGTTTCTGTACTGAGAGGTACTTTCTCCTATTTGCTTATGTGATACTTTAGAGCATGGTATATTGAAGAGGTAGGTAACAGTACTTTGCTGTCTATCATCTCAATGACCAATCGGATCTCAGTTGAGGGCAGGAAGTATGACTTTCTCTCTCTGTAAATTCAAGCGTGAATGTCGGTCTTGATGCCGGCATTACCAAAACTTGAAAAATGGAAGCATAAGAACTGTGAGGTTACATAGTTACATAGCTGAAAAGAGACTTGTGTCCATCAAGTTCAGCCTTCCTCACATATGTTTTTGCTGTTGATCCAATTTTGCAACAATCTAGGAAAAAGTTCCTTCTTGACCCCAAAATGGCAGTCAGATATCTCCTTGGATCAAGCAGTTATTACCACACTTATTAGAAAGTATATCCCTGTATGTTATGTTTTTGGAAGTATTTTATCCAAAACCTGTTTAAACATCTGTATGGATTCTGATGAAAGCACCTTTTCAGGCAGAGAATTCCATATCCTTATAGTTCGGACTGTAAAAAAACATTTTATTTGCCTTAGATGAAATCTCCTTTCTTCCAGCGTAAATGCATGACCTCGTGTCCTATGTATAGCCCCTTTAATGAATAGATTTCCAGATATTGGTTTGTACTGGGCCCGAATATATTTGTATAAATTTATCATATCCCCTTTTATTCGCCATTTTTTCAAACTAAAGAGATTTAAACATTTTAACCTTTCTTCGTAACTAAAATGTCTATTCCTTTTATCAATTTTGTAACTCATCTTTGCACTTTTTCTAGTGCCATGATATCCTTCTTTAGAACAGGTGCCCAAAATTGCACAGCATATTCAAGTTGTGGTCTTACCAGTGATTTATAAAGAGGCAAAATTATATTTTCAGCCCGAGCATTTATGCCCCTATTTATACATGACAAAACCTTACTGGCCTTAGCAACTGCAGATTGACATTGCATATTGCTGCCTAATTTGTTGTCTATAATAATTCCCAAATCCTTCTCATGTGTGGTTACCCCTAATTCACTATCATTTAGGGTGCTTGTGCATTCTTGATCCTGAAGTGCATGACTTTGCATTTCTCTACATTAAATTTCATCTGCCATTTCAGTGCCCAGACCCCTAATCTATCTAAATCCATCTGCAGCAAAGCAATATCCTGCTCACATTTTATACAGTTTTGTGTCATCTGCAAACACTAAAACATGGCTTTCAATGCCTATTTCAAGATCATTTATAAATCTGTTAAATAGAAGCGGTCACAAAACAGAACCCTGAGGGACACCACTTACCACTTTTGTCCAGCTTGAAAATGTACCATTAATGACAACTTGTTGTACTCTATCCTTAAGCCAGTGTTCTACCCAAGAACAAGAATATTTATACCCAATTTCTTTTAGTTTGAAGACTAACCTATTGTGAGGAACCGTATCAAATGCCTTCGCAAAATCCAAGTGGATGACATCCACTGCAACACCCTGATCTATACTTCTACTTACTTCTTTGTAGAATGCAATTAGGTTAGTTTGACATGACCTACGTTTCATAAAACTATGCTGATTATTGCTAATAACAAAGTTCTTCCTAATGAATTCCAGAATATTATCTCTTAATAGCCCTTCAAATATTTTCCCAGTCACAGAAGTTAAGCTCTATAATTTCCAGGCAATGATTTCAACCACTTTTTAACTATAGGAATGACATCTGCCTTCCTCTAATCCTCCGGTACAATAACTGAAACAAAAGAATCTTGGAAGATTAAATACAGAGGTTCACTTATTTCCCACTTAGCTCCTTAAGTACTCATGGGTGAATACCGTCCCAGAGCTTTATTTACATTAATTTTCTTTAACTGCTGTAGCACCTTGTCTCAAGCCATCCAATCACAAGTTATCTTTGCAGCAATCATTTGCCATAGGATCCTCATTAATATATACTGAAGAAAAATAGTTGTTTAAAATTTCTACCTTTTCCTGGTCTTCATTAACTAACAGACCCATCTCTGTTTCCAGTGTACCTACACTTTCATTTTTATTTATTTTTATTTTTTTAGAATTGATGTACATGAAAATTTTTTGGGGGTTGGTTTTGCATTCTTTGGCTATCAATTTCTCATTTTCTAGTTTAGCCACTTTAATTGCCATTTTGCAAGCATTATTGGCTTCCTTAAATCTTATATAGGATGACTCTGATTTGTCCGATTTAAATGCCCTTTTCTTGTTTTTAATCTCTTGTTTTACTTCTCTACTAAGCCACAGTGGTTTCAATTTGTTTCTTTTATATTTATTACCCAATTGTACATACTGAGAAATGTACCTTTCTACCTTTTTAGTTGTTTGAGGAGTTTCCATTTATCCTCAGTGTTTTTTTTTTTACTAAGGAATTTATGCCAGTCAATATGTTGTAGAGCTGCCCTCATCTTTTGAAATTGGCTTTTTTAGAATTATATGTTTTAGTATACCCCATGTGCTTTTACTATTTTGAGTTTATTTAGAAAATGACCATATTGTGATCACTATTTCCCAAATACTCCCCTACTTGGATGTTGGTCAAAAGATCAACATTGTTTGTTATAGCGAGATCCAGACAAGCATCCTTTCTAGTTGGTGCTTGTCCCAGTTGTGACATGAAGGTGTCATTTAACACATTCAAAAACCTGATTCCCCTTGCTGAAGTACTAGTCCCTCTATCCCAATTTATGTCCGGGTAATTTAAATCTCTAATAATTTACGTGTTACCCAGATTTGCAGCTTTCCCAATTTGCTCTAACAGCTGTTCTTCCTCATTAATATTTACATTAGGTGGTTTATAACATATCCCAAACAATAATTGATTTCCCTTATTTTGCCCCAAGCAGATTGTAGCGGAACGCCAATAATAAATCCACGAATTCCGCTGGTCCAGAAACGAATCCACAGTCAAGCGCTGAAAACAACAAGGCAATATCCCCAACCTCCCAATAACCGGACGAGACACAGTTTTGGGAGTCAACTGACAATCCTTTAATCGGCACGACAATTTATACAAGTCCCCATGCAAGGGGTTTCCTGAGTCCCTCCCCAGGGGTACTCCCAGAGGGGACTACATGGGGGACTTACAGTATAACATATTTCTCCCATCAGGCACTGCTGCACGAGAGGGATCATCCTCCCAGAATGCACCGTTAAGGGGATTATCCCCTCGTGCAGCAGAACCGGCAATTCACACAAAAATCTATAACTTTTAAAATACACGGTGGATTTGCACGAATGGACGTTCGGTAGATAGCTGGGGTCTGGGCGCATCATTCGGGAGATTGCCGCTCAGATCCCAGCTAGAATAACCGAACGCCGCACAGAAAACACATTTCTTTCAAAACATACGAAAAGAACCGATTACTTTTAGTGAACACGGTTCTGAAACTCCCGAACGTCCTGGAGGCTCAGCGGTGTTCGTGCCGTCGAATAGCTATTGGTAATACTATGCGTTCGACAACACGGACCCGCTGAGGAACAAAGGATCCAAGATGGCCGACCGCCGCATGGTCGGTAGTCGAACGACGGCCACCCAGGAGAGCCTCTAATTACCGATTGCAACAATGTTGCAATCGGTTAACTAGCGCCACACGCCTCTAAGTGTGTGGGCTATGAGGGGGTATCGCGTTCGCTTCACGAACGGCCCTCCAAAGTGCCGTTCGTGAAACGAACGGGAATCCCCATACAAACCGCCATTGGCCTTCGGCTAAACAGTAATTACAGTCTCTGCAGAAAATACATCAAGCACATACATAAGAATAAAGCGCATATCTCCCCAGTCCTGTAGGCAACCCTTAAAGGCACAGTCTCTAGTTATAGTTCAAGTTGCTAGGTTTGCCACAATGCTCCCCCAGAACCAAGCCGGCATACACAACCCTTAAAGGCACAGTCTCTAGTTATAGTTCAAGTTGCTAGGTTTGCCACAATGCTCCCCCAGAACCAAGCCGGCATACACAGTCTGATCCCCACGGATCGGCTTGGGGATGTCCGGGGGAGTGCTCACAGATCACTTCTCAAGGTCTGTTTGTCTGGACAACCCGTTACCGTTTTGTTTCCCTGGGCGGTAGTGGATCGTAAAGTCAAAGGGCTGCAGCGCCAAACTCCAGCGCAGCAGCCTGGCATTGTCCCCAGCCACACGGTTTAGCCACACCAACGGGTTGTGATCTGTGAGCAAAGAAAAGGGTTGCCCATAGAGATACGGCTGTAACTTTTTCAGGGCCCACACCACGGCCAGGCATTCCTTTTCTATGGCGGCGTAGCTCACTTCTCGGGGTAACAGTTTCCGACTCAAGTATGCTACGGGGTGTTCTCCGCCATCGGCTCCGACCTGGCTCAGTACTGCTCCCAATCCAAACATTGAGGCGTCTGTGTGAACAAGAAAACGTTTAGTTGGATCAGGAGCAGCCAGTACAGGGGCATTGGTCAGAGCCGTCTTCAGCTGGTTGAATGCCTGTTCACACTCTGGGGCCCAGACGACCTGCCGGGGCAGGTTTTTCTTCGTCAAATCAGTCAGGGGTTTGGCCAGGGCACTGTAGTTGGGCACAAATTTTCTGTAATACCCTGCGGTACCTAGGAAAGCCAGGACTTGGGTTTTGGTCCTAGGGGTAGGCCACTGGGCTACAGCTTCAATCTTTGCGGGCTCAGGCTTCTGCTGCCCGCTACCAACCCGGTGTCCTAAGTACTGGACCTCTGCCATCCCTATGTGGCATTTGCTGGGTTTCAAGGTAAGCCCTGCCTCTCGGATCCGATCTATTACCGCCCCTATGTGTTGTAGGGCAGGTCTGACTGTAGATGGCAATATCGTCCAGATATGCACACGCATAGTCCTGGAACCCGTCCAGTAGCCGATCCACCATCCGCTGAAATGTGGCGGGGGCGTTCTTCATCCCGAATAGCATGACTCGAAATTGGTACAAGCCAAACGGGGTGACAAACGCCGACTTAGGGATGGCGTCCTCGGCTAGTGGAATTTGCCAGTATCCCTTACACAGATCTATGGTAGTGAGATACTGACCCCTGGCCATCCTATCAAGCAGTTCGTCTATCCGAGGCATCGGGTAGGCGTCCGACACAGTTTTGTCGTTCAACCTCCGGTAGTCCACGCAGAACCGGGTGGTACCATCTTTCTTGGGCACCAGGACTACCGGCGATTCCCAGGGGCTGAGTGTTCAATAACCCCCAACTGCAACATCTCCTCAATTTCTTTCCTCATATGTTCCCGCACGGATTCAGGAATCCGATAGGGAGTCTGTCGCATGGGAAGCTGTCCCGGGGTTTCTACTCGGTGGGTGGCTAGTGGAGTGTACCCAGGTAGGTTAGAAAAGGTGGCGCCCTTGGTTGCTATCAGTTCTTGTACCTGGATACGCTCTTGAGGACTTAGCCGCTCCCCCAGTTGAACCCCCTGGGAGGGTTCCTTCTGCTCCTCCTGTTCTAACAGATCTGGAAGGGGCAGGTTCTCCTGATCTTCGGAGGCGGGCGTGCAAATAGCTGCCACGTCCTCCGTCCGCTCGTGGTAGGGTTTGAGCATGTTCACATGGAGCATGCGTCTCTTCCCTACTCCGGAGTATGGGCCGATCACATAGGTGGTATCGCATCTCTGCTCTACCACCTGGTATGGGCCCTGCCAGACGGCCTGCAGTTTATCGGTGCGGACAGGTTTAAGGATTAGCACCTTCTGTCCCACTTGAAAACTACGGTCTCTGGCCCCTCTGTCATACCAACGACGCTGTCGTTGCTGGGCGGCCTGGAGGTTGGTGCGCACTGCCTGGGTCAATTCCTCCAGGCGATCCCGGAACGCCAGCACGTATGGTACAATAGGGGTCCCATCTGTGCTACTCTCTCCCTCCCAATGCTCTCTAATGAGATCCAACGGCCCCCGGACCCTTCTCCCAAACAGTAGTTCAAATGGGGAGAAACCCGTGGACTCTTGGGGCACCTCTCTGTATGCAAACAACAGATGGGGAAGGAATCGTTCCCAGTCCTTATGGGTCTCTCCGAATGTCCGGAGCATCTGTTTTAGGGTACCGTTGAATCTCTCACATACTCCATTGGATTGCGGGTGGTAGGCGGAGTTAATGATCGGCTTAATGCCGCATATCTTCCATAACTGCTGAGTAACCTCAGCCGTGAATTGGGTCCCCCTATAGGAGACCATTTCCTGTGGGAACCCTACTCGGGAGAATATCTTCATCAAGGCTTCGGCTACGGTCTCAGCGTGTATATTAGTTAGGGCAATCGCCTCGGGGTACCGGGTGGCGTAATCCACCACGGTCAGGATATACCGTTTCCCAGAAGGGCTGGGTTTTGGTAGTGGCCCTACTATATCCACTGCTACACGGCTGAATGGTTCCTCAATTATAGGTAGGGGACACAGTTTTGCCTTGTGGCGATCCCCCCTTTTGCCTACCCTCTGGCACACATCACAGGAGGTACAATATTGCCTCACGTCTTTAGAAATCCCGGGCCAAAAGAATGCGTGCGTTAGGCGATACCGGGTCCGGGTCATCCCTAGATGGCCGGACAGAGGGATATCATGGGCGATTCTTAGTAACTCCTGCCTATACTTCTGGGGCACTACTAGCTGCTTGGTTTGGAGTGTCACAGAGTTGCCTATTGCCCTTTCCGCCACCTGGTATAGTAACTTCTTCTCCCACCTGTACTGTTCTCCCTCCCGCCCCACCTGGTCCGTATCTACCCTATCTCGGTATACCTGCAGTGTGGGGTCTGTCTGTACCTCTACTTCAAACGTGGACGGGGTGTCCCAAGTCATGTCCGTCAAGGGGGGGTCATGATTTCTTACCTGAGCCTCAGAGTGTGCGGGGAATGCCGTGGTGCGAGCCTGTTGCCGGGTGGTTACCGGATGCGCCTCTTGTGACGGGGCCTGAGGTAGAAAAGCAGAAGTCATCTGGCCCAAGTCATTCCCCAAAACAACATCGGCCGGTAGTTTTTTCATTATGGCCACTTCCACAACCCCCTCCCCAGCACCCCAATTCAAATGCACCTTGGCCGTGGGTAACCGGTACATGGCTCCCCCTGCTACCCGGACGGCCACTGATCCGCCAGTGTGGGCCGTATCTGGAATTAAATGGGGAGCCACTAAGGTCAAGGTGGCTCCCGAGTCCCGCAGCCCCTGCACTTCTTTCCCTCCCACAAACACAACTTGGCGGTGATGCTGCCGGTTGTCCGTGGCTTGCACAGACATCACCTCGTATAGAACCCCCAATGGTTCCTCGGTTGGTAGACTTGTCAGCTCCGAGTGGTCAGGTTCTGCGTGGTAGAAATGGGCCACCGCCCTGGGAACGGAATTCTGCCGTACCTGGTTCCACGCCTGCCTGCTACGATTCTGGGTGCACTCCCGTGACATATGCCCCCACTGCCGGCAGGTATGGCATTGTATGTTGGCCCTGCCATTGTAGCGGGCTGGCGGTGGGGGGTTTCCTGGTGGTGGCCTGAATGGGGTAGAGTTGGCGGGTGTGGAGCTGGCTGGGTGATGTTGTATTGGCGGTCTTAGGGGACCCCTGTTGGTGAGCCCCTGGTGTCTCCGGGCATCAAAGTGTTCGTCTGCCAATCGGGCGGCTGCTGTGAGGGTAAGAGGTTTTCTGTCCCTTACCCACTCCTGTGCCTCTGGTGACAGACCGTTGAAGAATTGCTCCAGCAAGATGAGTTGGCGCAGTTCCTCCATGGTGGTGGCTTGACTTGCCTGAATCCACCCTTGCGAAGCTTGGTCCAGCTTATGCGCCCATTCTGCGTGGGAATCTCTTTCGGGCTTTTTCAACCCCCGAAATTTCCGTCGGTATGCCTCTGGGGTTATGGCATATCTTTCTAGGATTGCTCTTTTTTACTTTAAAATAGTCTTTGCTGTCCTCTCTGGGCACAGCGCGGTAAGCCTCTGCTGCTCGTCCCGCCAACTTGCCTGCCAATAGGGGTACCCACATTGCCGGTTCCAGATCGTGCAGGTCGCATAGCCTCTCGAAATCCTGCAGATATCCGTCTATCTCATCCTTCTCCTCGCAGAATGCTTTAAATGCCTGGTACGCTATTTTCTGCTTTGTTGGAGAGCAGAATGAGTTGACGATGGATTCTGCCCTGGATGGTGACCTCTGGTGTTGCTGTGCCATAATGTAGTCCTGGACGTCGGCCATTAGCACGGTTAAGATGTCCAGGGTTACTGGCTGTGGTACAAATTCCAGTCGGGTTCTCAGTTCCCTCTGGTATGGTGTTTCCTCTCTGGCAGGTGGGGGTGGACTGCTGTGTGCTTGGTCGCCCTCCATTAGCTCTGCAATCAGTACTGCCTTCGATTTGTTGCTAGCGCTTTTCTCTCTAGCCTCCAGCAGCTCCTTTAGCGTCTGTCTCTTTAACGCCGTGTAATCAGTCCCCATTCACTGATCGCTTTCGTCTGCTTGTTTCATACGAATTGCCTTTCCGTTCGGTTGTTCCTTTCATTCGAATGCGCTGTATTCGGCTGTAGAGTTGGATCCCGTCGCTTGCCACCAATTGTAGCGGAACGCCAATAATAAATCCACGAATTCCGCTGGTCCAGAAACGAATCCACAGTCAAGTGCTGAAAACAACAAGGCAATATCCCCAACCTCCCAATAACCGGACGAGACACAGTTTTGGGAGTCAACTGACAATCCTTTAATCGGCACGACAATTTATACAAGTCCCCATGCAAGGGGTTTCCTGAGTCCCTCCCCAGGGGTACTCCCGGAGGGGACTACATGGGGGACTTACAGTACAACATATTTCTCCCATCAGGCACTGCTGCACGAGAGGGATCATCCTCCCAGAATGCACCGTTAAGGGGATTATCCCCTCGTGCAGCAGAACCGGCAATTCACACAAAAATCTATAACTTTTAAAATACACGGTGGATTTGCACAAATGGATGTTCGGTAGATAGCTAGGGTCTGGGCGCATCATTCGGGAGATTGCCGCTCAGATCCCAGCTAGAATAACCGAACGCCGCACAGAAAACACATTTCTTTCGAAACATACGAAAAGAACCGATTACTTTTAGTGAACACGGTTCTGAAACTCCCGAACGTCCTGGAGGCTCAGCGGTGTTCGTGCCGTCGAATAGCTATTGGTAATACTATGCGTTCGACAACACGGACCCGCTGAGGAACAAAGGATCCAAGATGGCCGACCGCCGCATGGCCGGTAGTCGAACGACGGCCACCCAGGAGAGCCTCTAATTACCGATTGCAACAATGTTGCAATCGGTTAACTAGCGCCACACGCCTCTAAGTGTGTGGGCTATGAGGGGGTATCGCGTTCGCTTCACGAACGGCCCTCCAAAGTGCCGTTCGTGAAACGAACGGGAATCCCCATACAAACCGCCATTGGCCTTCGGCTAAACAGTAATTACAGTCTCTGCAGAAAATACATCAAGCACATACATAAGAATAATGCGCATATCTCCCCAGACCTATAGGCAACCCTTAAAGGCACAGTCTCTAGTTATAGTTCAAGTGGCTAGGTTTGCCACACAGATATCTACCCATAAAGTTTCCACATTTTCCTCGTCACACTCCATATGCCTAAGATTTGACTTTAACTCATGGTTGACATACAAACATACACCACCACCCTTCTTGTTTTTCCTATCCTTCCTAAATAACGTGTACCCATTTAAGTTAACTGCCCAGTCATGTGTCTCATCCCACCATGTTTCTGTTATGCCTAATATATCATATTGTTTAGTGTATGCTATTGCCTTTAGTTCCCCCATTTTGTTATATAGGCTCCTTGCATTAGTAAGCATACATTTGATATTATCATGATTCATTTGTACTTTTTGTGAATTTTTATCAATATTACATACCTCCTCTGTTCTGAGCTTGCCCCTCCCCTCATCTCCTCCCACCTAATACTTATACTAGAATCTCATTTCTAACCTATCTCCATTTTCTAGATTGCTTTGACCCTCCCCCCCACTACTAGTTTAAAATCTCCTCCAACCTTCTAGCCATCTTATTCCCCAGCACAGCAGACCCTCTTTTGTTTAGGTGCAATCCATCACTGCTATACAGGTTGTACCCAAGCGCAAAATCGGCCCAGTACTCTAAAGACCCAAAACCCTCTTTCATGCACCAAGACTTCAGCCATGCATTGACCTCTCTAATCTCGCACTGCCTTTCTGCCGTAGCACGCGACACAGGTAATATTTCTGAAAATTTACCTTGGAGGTCGTTTTCTTTAGCTTACTTCCTAGTTTCCTGACCTCATTCTTTAAGACCTTCCATTTTCCTCTGACTTTGTCATTGGTACCAATATGGACTATGACAACTGGGTGATCTCCAGGCCCTCCCAATATTCCCTCCACTCTGTCAGCAACATGCCGGACTCAAGCACCCAGGAGATAGCAAACTGTCCGGTTGAGACGATCTACTCTCTTAATAATAGAATTGCCTACCACCACAACCTATCTAGCCTTCCTTACACTTTCAACCCGACCCATACTAGAGGGGCTGTTCCCACGGCTGTTAGAATGAACAGCTTCCTGCAGTACAGCTACTCCTGAGCTGATGCTCCCAATTTATGCTCGCAACTCAAACGGGCAAATCTTTTGGGCTGCACAAGATCAGGACTAGCTAAACCTTTCCTCTTCCCTCCACCCCTGCTTCCTCACCCCACAGCTATGTGCTTGTTCACCAATTGTGCAAGATAATGCATCTTGGGCGTAAAAACCCAAGGGCAGAGTACAGAATATTTGATAGAGTTCTAACCTCAACATATGAGGAAAGGGATTTAGGGGTGATTATTTCTGATGACTTAAAGGTAGGCAGACAATGTAATAGAGCAGCAGGAAATGCTAGCAGAATGCTTGGTTGTATAGGGAGAGGTATTAGCAGTAGAAAGAGGGAAGTGCTCATGCCATTGTACAGAACACTGGTGAGACCTCACTTGGAGTATTGTACACAGTACTGGAGACCGTATCTTCAGAAGGATATTGATACCTTAGAGAGGGTTCAGAGAAGGGCTACTAAACTGGTTCATGGATTGCGGGATAAAACTTACCAGGAAAGGTTAAAGGATCTTAACATGTATAGCTTGGAGGAAAGACGAGACAGGGGGGATATGATAGAAACATTTAAATATATAAAGGGAATCAACACAGTAAAGGAGGAGACTATATTTAAAAGAAGAAAAACTACCACAACAAGAGGACATAGTCTTAAATTAGAGGGACAAAGGTTTAAAAATAATATCAGGAAGTATTACTTTACTGAGAGGGTAGTGGATGCATGGAATAGCCTTCCAGCTGAAGTGGTAGAGGTTAACACAGTAAAGGAGTTTAAGCATGCGTGGGATAGGCATAAGGCTATCCTAACTATAAGATAAGACTAGGGACTAATGAAAGTATTTAGAAAATTGGGCAGACTAGATGGGCCGAATGGTTCTTATCTGCCGTCACATTCTATGTTTCTATGTTTCTATGTTGTCTCATCTCCTCCCACTCCACTACCTGCCCCCACTAAACTCTGCTCAGTGAGCAGCAGAATCCTCCCAAGATTGTCAATCTCCCTCGGTGTTGCAATTTGCCTCTCCAGATCTCCAATCTGAGCTTCCAGAAAAAAAAGGTTTAAGTTTATAGTGTTATATATTTAATTTAATATTGTCCCATGGCAAAAGAAAACCAGTAATGAGGGTTATTCACCTAAGTGTTATCCTTTAAGTTAATCAATGTGAATTCGAAGTGATTTTAAAGTGATCTGCAAATTTTGGGTCACAAATAGAATAATGTTCTATATTCCCAGTTTGGGTAGCTTGGCATAAATTACTTTCAATTCCCTTTGTCTTACCGACGATTAACACTTGATTAATAATCCTGAATGTGTCTGTATGTTGTTGGTAGTGATAAGATGAACAGAATAGGCAAGTTCACAGACAAAAAAATAAATGAGTGCATAGCCATAGAAAACACTCAGAATTGTGTACATTGTGCAGACTTTTTGTACAATGTTTGTGGTTCATACACTGTTTTTATATGCTTTTACATTTTAAATAAATGCTATGTTTTATACTTGTTTGTGTTCGTGTTTCTTGTCTGTTAATGGACAAGCAAAACTATAAAACTATATGAATGTAATCTCTCTTTTCTTATTCCACAGAGAATATCAGGACCCTTCACATAAGGCATTTTAAGGAACAAATGAAACAAAATGAAAAATGATTCAAATTGTACCAATGATACGGGCTTCCAGTACACCCTGTACTCCACCACTTACATTCTGGTTTTCATTCCTGGACTCCTAGCCAACAGTGTGGCCCTTTGGGTTCTCTGCGGTTATACTAATAAGAAGAACAAAGCCATTATTTTTATGATAAATCTGGCAGTGGCAGATCTAGCTCATGTTTTGTCATTGCCACTGAGGATTTACTACTATTTAATTAATGTCTGGCCATTTACAAACTTCCTATGCTTGTTTTGTTTCTATCTTAAGTATCTCAATATGTACGCCAGTATCATGTTTTTAATGCTCATTAGCATCCAACGCTGCATGTTCACCATTAACCCTTTCAAAGCAAAGGACTGGAAGCGTAGATATGACGTTGCCATAAGTTGTCTTGTATGGGTGGTCATTGGGGCTTCTTGTTTACCCTTTCCAATCATTAGAAGTTACGGGCTAAGTAACACAAGCGTGGCCTGTTTTGCTGACCTGGGAATGAATAACAAAATGGCACATGGTCCAGCACTGACTATGATCACAGCAGCAGAGTTAGGCGGATTTGTTATACCTGTGATAATAATTACATACTGTACTCTTAAAACCAGATCTCAGCTTAAAAATGACTCTCTGCAACGCCAAAATGTTAGTGAAAAACGGAAAGCTCTGAGGATGGTTTTAACATGTGCTGCTGTATTTTTCATCTGTTTTGCCCCATACCACATCAATTTCTTTTTTTATATGCTGGTGAATTGGAGTATCATCAAAAACTGCTCTGTGCAAAAGGTCATTCTGACATTCCATCCTTTCTCGTTGTGTCTTGCAAGCATTAACTGTTGTTTAGATCCAATACTTTACTACTTCAGTGCTTCAGAGTTCAAAAATGAAGTTGTCCGACACGGGTCCACGATGATACGTGTACGTCTAATGAGTAGAGAGAGTGCCTCATCTATTAGGTCATAGCAAAAAGCCAAAAAGTCATTGGTTCTTAGATGTTTTGGTTTGACTTTTTGACTTTATGTTTTACATTGTCAGTTAGGCCAAAATAGAAAGAGTGTGTGTAGGTACCATAAAAATAAAAATGTACATCTACAGACTTTTCATTTTACATTTGTTTCATGCATCATTTGAGAAATATCGGGCATTCTAAAGCATCAGAATTTATGTAGTATACCTCTTCTTGAAATATTTCCTATCAGCCATAAAAGTTCTATAATTAGGTCATGAAAACAGGCAAATAAGTACCAACATAATATTATATCATGCAGAAGGTAAAAAATTAAAAAATAAAGACGCATGCACCATGTTAGTAAAGAATCTGCACATTTTTGGGAAATTCAGAATCCCAGATTGCTACCAGAATGTAAACATTAATAATGTATATGGGGATAATACTCAAATATAGTAAATACAGCTGCCTTACTTAAACCAAGCAGCGGTATTACAAAGTACATTGCTGACTGTTATTTACATGATTGCATTGTAGTTACAGGCACTACTTTAAATTTGGCAGATTTACATGAACGGTAGGTTATGAGTAAAAAGCAAAACAAAGTCAGTGTTGATAAACCTGGAACTGGTAGCGAGCATGGAAGGTTGGGCAGTTTATTATAATTATTCTACTTTTATTAACACCAGCCTAAGTCAGCCTCCTGAGGGACACCTCTGCCTGAAACATATGATTTTGGATTATTATTGGACAAGGACAGGTAGAAATGTAACAGATTTCAAATTGGGGTCATTTGACTACATAAACTAAAAATAGTCAGTTAACCCCTTAAGGACGGAGCCAAATGTACACGTTGTGAACGAAACAAAATGTAAACAAAACCTGGCATTTGCGCTACATGTCTGTCCAACCGTAATTCAACTCTTTCATAGTAAATGCACCCACACTTATTATATATCATTTTATTCAGGGGAAACAGGGCTTTCATTTAATATCAAATATTTAGCTATGAAACATAATTTAATATGAAAAAATGGGAGAAAATAAGATTTATTTTTATTTTTTTAGTTCTACATGACATTTTAACTGTCAATGTCATAATACGGTTTGCTTTTACTGCAATAAAATACACATTTATATTCAGCAAAGTCTCACGTGTAAAACAGTACCCCCTATGTACAGGTTTTATGGTGTTTTGGGAAGTTACAGGGTCCAATATAGCACGTTACATTTGAAATTAAAATTCGCCAGATTGGTTACGTTGCCTTTGGGACTTTATAGTAGCCCAGGAATGAAATTTACACCCACAATGGCATACCATTTGCACTAGTAGACAACCCAAGGTATTGCAAATTGGGTATGTCCAGTCTTTTTTCGTAGCCATTTGGTCACAAACACTGGCCAAAGCTAGCGTTAGTATTTGTTTGTGTGAAAAATGCAAAAAAAACGCCAATTTTGCAATACCTTGGGTTGTCTACTATTGCAAATAGTATGCCATCATAGGGTTAATTTTCATTCTTGGGCTACCATAGGGTCTCAAAGGCACCGTAACCAATCTGGTCGAATTTTAATGTGAAAAAAATGAAACGCAAGCCTTATATTTGACGCTGTAACTTTTGAAAACACCATAAAACCTGTACATGAGGGATACTGTTATACTCGGGAGACTTCGTTGAACACAAATATGTGTTTCAAAACAGTAAAAAGTATCACAGCAATAATATCGTCTGAAAAAATGCAAAAAACTTCACTTTTACTGGTGATATCATCGTTGTAATACATTTTACTGTTTTGAAACACTAATATTTGTGTTCAGCGAAGTCTCCCAAATAGAACAGTACCCCCCATGTACAGGTTTTATGGTGTCTTGGAAAGTTATAGGGTTAAATATAGTGCTAGCAAATTAAATTCCCTTTACTTTCGGCATGGGTTGTCAGGCAGGTCCTGCTAATTGTAATTAATTAAGATAACTAATTATGTAAAAATATTACATAAATATATATGTAGAATTAATATATGTATATATGTATCACATGTATGTGAATCTATATGTGTATATATATATATATATATATATATATATATATATAATTTTTTTTAAATATTTTTATTTATATATAGGTATATATATAGTGATATATACGTATATATTTATGTATGTAGATATATATATTATTTCGTTCTACGTGTATTTTGATATAAATATATATATATTAATATCACAATACAGTTAGAATGAAATAACACACATCTATATATTTTTTAATTATTATTTTTTTAATTATTTTTTTAATTTTATTTTTTAACTTATTTACATATTTAATTTTTTTACATTATATATAAATATATATATATATATATATAACAATAATTATATATATATTTAATCAGTATCAGTCTACGTGTAATTTGATATTAATATATATATATATATATATATATATATATAAAAAAATATATATATATATATATATATTTTAATAGGATAATACACCTAGACAGTGTATGTGTGTGTATATATACTTAGATCATATATATATATATATATGATCTAAGTATATATATATATATATTTTTTTTTATTTTTTTTACACTTTTCTTTTTAATTTATTTATTTTAATTTCATTTCCAGCGAGCAGGGGGACCACCTGTCATTACAGGCAGCCCCCCTGCTGGCAATGCAGGAGGCAGCTACCCCCGGCCATGTGATTGTGGGGTCCTCGCAAGGACCTCACTCTCACATGGCCGGGGGGCACTAGAGGAAGAGGATCTACCGCGGGGTAAGTAAGGAAAGACCGGAGGGCGTACAATTACGCCCGGCGGCGTTTAGAGCCGCCTAAAATAGGGCGTAATTGTACGCCCTCCGGTCTTAAGGGGTTAAGGACGTGTTTAAAAAAAAAAAGTCAAAATTTCTACTGTAATAGCAATTCTCACATTAACTAAAGCTAAATCTATTCGGTCCACTGGTCTGCACCATTAAGACAGATGCATTCAGTGTCTGATGAAAAAATGAATGCATATGGTAGAATAAACATTCACAAATTATTCTTCACTTGCTTTTTACAAGCGAACTATAAGTAATATTTGCCCACAGACAGGATCTCCCCCCAAAAATCAGCTATTTTGGCCTAGCGCAGTCTAACAAAAGTCATGTACAAACATTTCCACCTATTTTTCAGAAAACGTAAAAATACATATTTTGTATACACTTCTAATATACTTTTAACTAAATCCCCATAGAATAGGTCTAGCATGGGGATAAATAAAAACATGTGTTTCTTTTACCTTCTGGTAAATATTTAATCTTGGAGATTGTCTTCTTCAGAGCTTCTTTTACTTCTTGGTTTCTTAAAGAATAAACAACAGGGTTTATAAGTGGGGTAACCACTGATGGGAATATAGAAATTATTTTATTAATATCCAAAAAGTATCTGGTGCTTGGCCTTATAAACATGAAGATCGTGGTACCATAAAAAATGCCAACAACAATCAGATGAGACACACAGGTAGAAAATGCTTTGTTCCTGCCATCAGAAGTTTGGAATGTCATTGTGGTTTGAATAATATATAGATATGAAATAACTATTAGCGATAAACTGCCCAAAATTACCAAACAGGCCATTACAAAGACCTGTTTTTCTATGTTCGATGTATCAGAACAGGATAACTTCAACAAAGCAGCAAAGTCACAGTAATAGTGGTCAATTTTATTGCAGCCGCAGAATGGAAGTTTTGAGATCTGTAGACATGGAACAATCACCACAAGGAATCCAAACACCCAGGAACCCAGTAACAGGTTGGTGCAAGTATTGGAGTTCATGATAACTATGTATCTGAGTGGGTGGCAGATGGCCACATATCGATCATAGGCCATAGTAGCTAGAAGGAAATTTTCAGTGCCACCAAATGAAAAATGGAAATAAAATTGTGTTATGCAACCTGCATAAGAAATAGAACCTTCTCTGGTGAGAAGAGAACCCAACAGTCTTGGGACCGTCACTGAAGGATACCAAATCTCTAGGAAAGAAAGTCCGATAATAAAAAAGTACATAGGCTTTTGGAGATGTTGATCGCTAGTAACAACATTAGCTGTAACAGTGATGACGTAAACAGCAGATAGAAAAACAAATATACACAATTCCAATTCATGGAATACTGAAAAACCTGCAAGAACAAATTGCGTAGCCAACGTGCAGTTAATCTCTTTCATGTTGAAGATTTTAAATAGTAGGATAGATATATATATATTTAAAGGTTCTATTTTTTGCTTTCTTCTCAACATTTCTTAAATCCAGATATATGAAATATGAAGCTTTCCTGTGAACATAAATCATATTTCGCATTCTGCATTATAGAATGTTTAAGGTGACAGATCTGATAAAACAAAAATAAATATACTGTACATTTATATTACGACTTAAAACTTTGACTTGTGCATTAGCCATTGGAGAGAAAAACATCAGCCTTGGTAAAGTAGAACTCCATGGTTTGTGTACCATGGACCCTCCAGGCTTGCAGGGGCAAGTAACATTAGTATATATAGTAATGTAGATATATGCCAGAAAGTTGGAGTGCACTAGCAACTGCACTGGAGTCAGGGTCTTCTCTGAGTACTCTGAAAAAATACACAGTATATAGTGCAGACTATCTGTATATACAGGGTATGCAAGATTAAAGTATATCTGGGGATCAACTCACATGGACCAGAGCCCTATCACCCCTGGCTCTGGGTTTGAATTGCTCCAATGGAGAGGGATAAGCAGACAGTATAACAAAACAGGATACTCTTCTGAATCAGATGTAATATCTAGGCAGTATAAACTAATAGAGAGGCAGGAGCCCAAATTGAATAGTATCAAACACAGTATTTATTTAAACAAAAGGTTAAAAACTCTTACTTGAAGTAGTGGGTTTGCCAGCAATAAACCCACAACTAAATAAGCAGGAATTTACACACAAAAAACGATACAGCTTAGACACTTCCATGTTCCGGCTGTGTTCCGGTCACGTGACCGCAGAGACCGCCTCTCACTGATGTCACACGTGACGCATTTCACACCGGTTTCTTCTGACGACATCATTCCTGTTCAGCCCTGTCTTTTAAGTGCTCAGACACTCCCCTTCCGTTTCGCCATTGGTTGAGGGAGCATTCCTCACTGAAGAAATTGGTTTCTTTCAATGTGGCTATTGTTTGGGCTGTAGGGGGACAGGAACGCAGAAAAAGGTAGTGAAAGAATTGGAAGATAGAACAAAATCCAATACACACAAGATAAAACAGCTTATTACGTGTCACAGCAAATATTGCATCTATGTTTTGACTTGCCCATGTAACTTACAATACGTGGGCAAGAACACACGAAAAATAAATGTACGTATTGGAGAACATGTTCACAACATCCGAAAAAGTGTTAAAGAACATCCTCTATCAGCGCACTTTGCACTAAAACATAATAGTGATCCCACTACACTTAGATTTTTGGGACTAGAAAAAGTTAGAGATTGGTGAGGAGAAGATTTAGATAAGAAGTTAGCCCAACACGAAATGAGATGGATAACTGAATTAAAATCCCTATCACCTAGGGGCCTTAACAAGGACTTCGAGATCTGTCACTTTCTATAAATACAAGAAGAATGGTATTTAAATACATAAATGTATATGCTAAACTATTTTTCTCTTTTCTAGATATATAAGAGATAAATTCTACAGCATCAAACGTAATATAGATAATGTAATGTGCATATGAATATATAGATGTTTATAGATGATGCAATGTTTTAATGATTGGTATGAAATGTAATGTACGCACTGTAGGTTGATGATTGACAACAGAGGACATATTTAACAATAGATTATTGTTTGTTTTTTTAGAATGTAATATTTGGTACAAAAGATTCTGTTTAGTATATAATCCCCATTCAGAATTTTGTCCATTTCTCAGTATAGACAACTCCAATATTGAATATTGATCTCTATCTACATCTGTTGACCCGCTCTATATAGAGGAACTATCCACACACAATGTCAAGTTAGATGTTTGATATATTTACATTTAGGTGATAATCCCCTGTAATTTTTAATACTTTTGATTTTATTCAAATTTTGTTTTTAATAATGTTATCCCATGACTTTGGGTTGATATTTCCAGCTTCTAATTTTCACTTGATTGCAAGAAATATTATTTTTTGTATAATTCTATTTAGTAGATGATCCCCATCGCAATAAAAACATAAAGAATATAAATGTGATTATACATTGTTGGAAGCTAAAATATCTATAAAAGTTTTTTATGGAAAGTTTTTTTATAACAATATTTTTTCATAATGTGATCTTTGGGCAATATCAACCTGCAGTGTTGTTATCTTTACTATAGGCAGTATGAACAGATTTCATAAACAGCCCTAGAAAAGACCTATGAATTGAGTGCACATACCCACAAAGAGTGGGAGGACTAGAAATAAATCCTAGTTTGATTGACTGCCCCCTCAACCAATGGCGAAACAGAAGGGGAGTGTCTGTGCACTTAAAAGACAGGGCTGAACAGGAATGATGTCGTCAGAAGAAGCCCGGGAGGCGGGCGAAACGCGTCACGTGTGACATCAGAGAGAGGTGGTCACAGCGGTCACGTGACCGGAACGCAGCCGGAACCCGCAAGTGTCTAAGCTGTATCTTTTTGTGTGTGTAAATTCCTGCTTATTTAGTTGTGGGTTTATTGCTGGCAAACCCACTACTTCAAATAAGAGTTTTTAACCTTTTGTTTAAATAAATACTGTGTTTGATACTATTCAATTTGGGCTCCTGACTCTCTATTTGTTTATACTGCCTCGATATTACATCTGATTCAGAAGGTGGGTTTATCCCTCTCCATTGGAGCAATTCCCTCTCCCTCTCCATTGGAGCAATTCAAACCCAGAGCCAGGGGTGATAGGGCTCTGGTCCATGTGAGTTGATCCCCAGATATACTTTAATCTTGCATACCCTGTATATACAGATAGTCTGCACTATATACTGTATGTTTTTTCAGAGTACTCAGAGAAGACTGACTCCAGTGCAGTTGCTAGCGCACTCCAACTTTCTGGTATCTAGTGCTAATTTGTGTCACTGTGTGTCACTTGGGGGTAGTGCAGCAGCACTGCAGATATTCTTAAGTGCTTTGACTTCATCTGGTTTTGTAGATAAATGTATACACAAACACAAAAACAGATAAACAACCTGTCCAAATCCATTTGTCTGCCCATCTGTGTATTCATCTATCTAGTAAATGGCATGTATCTATTTTAAGGCACATCAGACTACGAAGGATTAATGAAGATTCACACCCACCTCCCTGGAAAAGGTAGGTAAGAGGAGGGGTTCAAAAATAAAAGCAATATTTATTTAATAAAGACCCCACATAACTCTTAACACAGCCACACATAGTCAGCCCACAAGCATCCCTCCCCACACAATACCACAGACAATCAACATCACTAATCTTCACACACATTTAACATCACAGACAGCCCACATACATACACAACACGCAGTCCACATAAACACCACCAATGAGATTCTCTATCAACACACATAGTGCACAAACATCCCACAACACCACAACATGCACAGGAAGTGCAATCAACCAACATAGATATGATTAATATCACAGACAGCCGCCACACACACACACACACACACACACAGCACAGGCAGCCTGCATAACACAACAGGCAGTCCATATACACACACAATACCACAAACAGTCCACATACATATTACAACACAGACATTGCCAAATACATAAGTATCACAACCAGCACACACAAATACATAATACAGCAGGCAGCCAATACACACACACACACATTACCACAAACATCCTACACAAAAATGCATGCAATGCCGCAAACACTTACATAAAACTACAGGCATCCCATACACATACAGCTCATGTACACACAGATAAAACCCCACAAAGCAGCCACAACCATACATATAATACACACCGACTTCTCCAATGTAACTAAATGCTACCTAAAAGCATAAGACCAGCACCCTAAGGGATTACATATCTTTGCTGTGGCGCAGTCCTACCAAAAGGTTTCCTAGCCCTGCACTAAAAACTAGAGAGCTATTTTATCTTACTAGAGTATAGGACGATCTCGAGTCAGGGTCATCTGGAGTCCCCAATTACGATGGCTTTATATAAAGCAAAATACAATGCATAAAACAAAAACGATCTCAACTTGGCAATAAGCTGTTCAGACAGATGATAAGCAGATTAGAGAGAGACAGGCTCCTCTAACAAAAATACTTTTATTTCATTTGTTGGCTGTCCAGCAGTGTATGGAAGCTTTTCATTTAGAAATATGGTATTTTAGATGTCTCACACTTGTCCTGGTAATTAAGCTGCCTCTTAGAAGAAAAGCAGGATGCATGGCCTTGGCTAGGCCTCCTAAAGAGGGTACTGGGTGCATTTGTATGGTTTTAAATAGTCGATGAATAAGCCCTTCTATTAAAATCTTAATACATGATACATTTTAAAAAAATATATTAATTGGTCTCTTTTGCATCACTTAAGTTCTGAGATTTGGGAATTAGCTGCAATACTCTCAAAAGGATACTTGTATTAAACAGCTTTTAAAAAAAACAAAACAACAAAATATTAACATGTTGAATGCCAACAGAAATTTAAGAGGCAAGCCACACTTTTTAAAATGACAGTATACACACCCAGAGTACTTCATTTCAATGAAGAAGGTCGGGTGTCGTGTCCCTCCCATTTTAACCCTGTAATGTAAAGCATTGGATTTAAATGCCTCTACTGGCTGTGACTCTGACAGCCACTAAAGGCAAATACACAGAAATATCTGAGTGAATCTTGGCTATTTACAGAAACCTAGAATGTGACGGCAGATAAGAACCATTCGGCCCATCTAGTCTGCTCAATTTTCTAAATACTTTCATTAGTCCCTGGCCTTATCTTATATCTAGAATATCTTTATGCCTATCCCAGGCATGCTTAAACTCCTTTACTGTGTCAACCTCTACCACTTCAGCTGGAGGGCTATTCCATGCATCCACTACCCTCTCAGTAAAGTAATACTTCCTGATATTATTTTAAACCTTTGTCCCTCTAATTTAAGACTATGTCCTCTTGTTGTGGTAGTTTCTCTTCTTTTAAATATAGTCTCCTCCTTTACTGTGCTAATTCCATAGGCGTGTGCGCAGCCTATTGCATTAGGGTGTGCACCCTAAAGCACAAACACACGCCGCGTGTGTGTGTGTAATATATATATATATATACACACATACATACACATACATACACTGCTGTGTGTGCTGTTAGTGTGATGTGTGTGTGAGGGTGCTGTTAGTGTGATGTGAGGGTGTTTGTGTGTGTGTGTGTGTAATGCTAAACGATTGGAACGCAACTGCAGAAACTTTTAAATACTTCAATTTATAATTTTTTATTCTTTTTATTGAATTGCAAGATTTGGTTACTGTAGCTTTAAACTCTTATGGCAGGTTGTTAGTTGCAGAAAAAAAATAAGCCACTGAAGTTTTGCATTAAGCCAAGCAGTTCCAATTAAGGATAGTGCAGAGTTTGCATGCAGAATTAGAGTTGAATTAAATGCAGCAGAAATAGCTTCAAGAGTGTTTAACAATGAGGCAGCTTATAATTGCAACTGAGAGGTAATTGGATTGTAGGAAGAAAATGTACTTAGCTTCAATAGCAGTAGTTCCAGAGAACTGGGGAGATCAATTTAAGCAGTCCTTTAGGAGTAAGAGCAGAAGTCCGTTAAACAATCCGAGGTCGAGGAGTGGAGAAGGCGGGTAGTTGTTTTCAGAGCAGGTTCGGTACACGGAAAAGCTTCTAATGTAATTGGGTAGCCGGTAAGAGGTTCACAGGAACTTGTTCAATAATCCAGCACTTTGAATCTGGCGCGGTCTTCCTATGTAGCGTGGGGAGACCGCGTCAGAGAAGGGGCGGGGCAGAGCTCCGTCAACCCGGAAATAGCTTAATTCGGCGAAACCCGGCAGGTATAACCTGACAGTGTGTGTGTGTGTATGTGTATGTGACTATGCTGTTTGTTTGTGTGTGTGTATGTTTGTCCTGTGAGGGTGCTGTTTGTGTGAGTGTCGTGTATTTGTGAGGGTGCTGTTAGTGTGCTGTGTGTGAGGGTGTTGTGTTTTTTTTAAAGGTGCTGTGTGTGTTTGTGAGGGTGCGGTTAGTGTACTGTGTGTGTGTGCTGTATGTTTGGAGGGATTTGGCAGATTAGTAAATCCTTGCTGCCATGTGCCATCCCTGGTGGTCCAGTGGAGAGTGAACTCTAGCCTGCGGGGCTAGAGTTAACTCTCGCGAGATCTGAGCGTTGCCGCAGCAACACTCAGATATCGCGAGAGGAACCTGGCAGAGCTTCTGTCTAGAACTCCCTGGGTCCTCTCCTGCCTCCCTCCATGCTTCTGTGGGCCGGTGAGGTAGATCTTTGGTTTCCCCGCCGGCCCATGGAGGCTTAGAGCAGAGCCGGCACTCAGATAGCGCCGACTCTGCGCGTGTATATATATATATATATATATATACATACATACATACATACATACATACACACACACACACATATTCACAGACAGACACACATATTCACAGACAGACACACACTCACACACACACACAAATGATTACATTTTAATTTAAAAAAAATGTCCACCCAGCCTCCTACCTGGAGTGCTGGCGTGGACTTTTCCCTGGGGTCCAGTGGGGCGGGCGCCTCTCTGCAGCTCAGCCGCAGCGAGGGAGCTGTCTGCTCTCTGCTCCCTCTCGCCGCGCGGGCTGTCAGCTGTAGCTGGGAGCCGGAATATGACGTCATATTACGGCTCCCGGCATCAGCGCGCGGCGAGAGGGAGCAGAGAGCAGACAGCTCCCTCGCCGCGGCTGAACTGTAGAGAGGGGGGGATCCATCACCTCTTGCCCCCCCATGACAGGGGCAAGAGGTAAGACAGGGGGCGCTGAGTGCCTGCAGGAACAGCGTTCCTGCACTTTTTTTGAGCAGGAACGCTGTTCCTGAAGGCACTCAAACCATAGGCGTGCCA